ACTTGAAATCCATGTTTTTCTTATGTCCATGTATCTTGATGTCAAGATGATCAATTTGAAGACATTTGAGCATCAAAACAACCTATTTTAGTAAAAAATTGAAGGTAAGCTCAAATTTGATTGTTTAGAGCCTTGGCTCTATATAAACTTTTCCCTTTTCGAAAAGGGTTAGCAAACTGCGACCAGAAGCAAGTCACTGTGCTACCACCTTGACCACAACCCATTCCCACACTATTTGTTATTATTACATAAAGGGTATAGTTTCTATAAGGTTACAACCTTAAACAATCCAATTAAAGTGCACCTCTAAATTTTATCATAACATGTAGTTTTGGTGTAAAAAATGCTTAGGATTACCTTAAAATCTATGTTAATATCTAATTATAAAATTTTAAACTTTAAAAATAGTTAAAATCACGTAAATTTATAAACATATGAAAATTTTGAAAATGGACGGTCTAGATAATATGTTGGCAGATGCACTATTTATAGGACTCAAAATCTTTTTTTTTTTTTTCATATTCATACATTTCAATGTCGAGATGTCGAGATGATCAATTAGAGGGTTTTTCAATATTAAAACAACCTTTTCCGATGGAATTTTTAGATGCATTTTTAATTCTACATTTAAGGTTGCAACCTTATATACATTTTTTCCTTACATAAATAAATTGTTTCTATCGAGGCAGTTAATTAGTAGAACTCTTCTTGCCTCCCTTTTTTCCTCACTCCCCTTTTCTCTCTCTCTTAGGGTGTGTTTGATAATAGGAAATTGCTTTCAAGAACTTGAAAGTTATCTGTTATTGCAGATGTTCCGTGTTTGATAAAGGTTAGTATTTTAAAATGGTAAGTTACATGTTACTCTAGATCTTCCCCCACTTAAAGAAAGTTATGTCAAGTTGGACGAAACTTAACTTGAGAACTTCAATGCGGAAGTTCCTCGTGTGAAGACCCTCGCTAACGAAGCATGTTCCTCTCTAAGATGAAGCCTGCTCTCTCTGATCAAGCTCTCTCTTCTCTCTCTCTAATAAAGACCCTCACTTCCTGACAAAGCTCTCTTCTTCTCGATTAAAGCTCTCTATTCTTTATCTCTCTCTACTCTTGGTTCCTCTCATAAAGCTCTTTCTCCTCTCTCTATCTCTCTTCTTTATGCACATACTGGAGGACAAAGCTCTCTCTCTCTCCTCTTCTCTGCATAAGCTTTGTTTATATACTGATGCTCTCTCAACCGCTCTTCTCCCTTCTCCCCTCTCTCTCTCTCTTATCCTCTGTATAAGCTTTGTTTATGTAACGAAGCTCTCTCACACGCTCTTCTCCCTTCGCCCCTCTCTCTCTCTCTCCCTTGGTCCATTCTCTCTACAGAAGGCGTCTTCTACAGAGGGTATTTGCTTGCCCTCGACTGCCCTAACCACAGATAAGAGACCATCTCGCGCCTTCTCTTTGCGCCTACGTGCCTCCTAACAAAGATACATCTCAGTTTTTCCTCTCTCTGGTTTTTTGTCTCTCCCCTAATTTTTTTTCTCTCTGGTTTTTTCTCTATCCCATGGTTTTTCTTTTATCGCTCTGATTTTTTCTCTAGGTTCTGAACATGGTGAAAATGGATTTAGGGTTTTCTCTCAATATTGTTTTGTGATAAATTATTCTCTGTAGGGAAAAAATAATTTGGTTGTTTTTCTGGTAAACAGTTCTATGTAGAAACCTTGTCCCTTATCCGTCCCTTTAAGCCTTCCTCTCTCCACTCTAAGCCTTCCTCTCTCCACTCCAGGTAAATTTCACAATTCTCTTATTTTCCAAATCTTTTTTTCATTTGGTTTCTTCTAATGCATAGGTGACAATCATAACCATTTGGTGTCCCCTTTTTCTTTTTTGTGAATAAAATGCAACAGGAGTTTCTCAATGCGTCGAGTATTTTTCCCTCAGTAGATAAATATGGGAATATTATTATTTTTTTAGTTTTACTTAGCTCCAATTATGAATGTTGTAGCTATCATGCTCTTTTTGCTACCTTTCTTTTTTTTAATAAGTAATGCTTATGGGATCATGAAATCTGATATATTTTTTCTCTGATTTACAGTTATCATGTGGGTTTGTTTATATCTTTTTATGCAAACAAGAAATGCATGAATTACCAATATTTTTATTTTCTTATTAGTTTTGGTTATTTTGTATTTGGCTTTTTTTAGCATTTTGTATATGATATAGTGCTAATCTTGCTTCTTTTTTTTTCAAGCTTTTTGGAAATAAACATCTTCACCTAACACAATTAAAAGATTGAATGGTATTAATACTCTTCTTTTATGTGGATCTCTTCTTCCTTTACATAATGGGTTATGTATAAATCACAGTTGTTTTTTTTGAAGATGGTAGATTAATGAGTTTCTTTCTTTCTTAGTTTTCTGAAAACCTGTGAAGTTTAATTGCTATTGCTTACTATCTTGCTTGTTTTCATTCCTGAATTTGTTTTTCACCTAATGGTTTCCTTTGTTCCCATTATTTATTGAAATTGCTTTACTTTTTCTTTTTGTTGAAATTGCTTTACATTTGGTGTCCCCTTTTTCTTTGTGTCTTTTTTGTGACTGCTATCATCTGAAAATGAGATTGCTTAAATTTGATTCATGGTTAGCTTATTTTTTTTATTCATTGATAGTTCTTTTGTTGGTCGTAAAGAAAAGAAAGAAAAAAAATTGTAGTATTGCTTTCCTTTTTGCCATAGGTTTAGATTAAGCTTACTTTTTATTTTTCGATATCAAGCATAGGGTTTTATCTGACCATTAAGAACCAAAAAAAAAAACAACTTGTTATAGATTGATTGGAATTTTTTGCAAATAACAACATTTCTCAATGAAAGCAGCAGGAAATTTGTTGAGTTTATTATAGAATTTGAGTTCAGGAAATGGTTGAAGAATCCAATATTCAGATAGATATAACTGAGAAAGTAGAATTTGAGCATTATCAAACTTGCTTGCTATCACTTGACTAAAAAAAGGCTATTTTGAGCTTGCATTTTTTTTTTTTTGAGTTGAAGATCTTTCCTTTTTTTCTTTTTTTTTTGTGAACAAAATACTGAATTTAACTAGAATTTATGCATTTTACTGCTTGTATGTGCTCCAATTGACTGCCCTCTTGTTGATATCTTTATTCCTATATTAAGCAAATCTTTCCTTATTAGAGTTATAGTACAAGTTACTGGTTATCCTTATTAGAGTTACAGTACTAGTTATTGTGATTAAGCTTGTTTCAAGTTCCATTTGTTGGTTTTCATGTGAGCATCTATGAATATAAGAATTTTTTTCATACTTATGTAGCATCCATAGGGTTTTATCTTACCATTGAGAATGTAGTTATAGAATCAACGAACAAAAAAAAAAAAACTTGTAATAGATTGACTTAAATTTTTTGCAAATAACAACATTTCTTTAAAAAATCAACAAGAAATTTGTTGAGTTTGTTGTGGAATTTTAGTTTAGGAAATGGTTGAAGAATCAAATATTCAAAGAGATATAATTGAGAAAGTGGAATTTAAGCATAGTCAAGCATGTTTGCTATCACTTGGCTAAAACAAGGTTATTTTGAGCTTCCATTCTGTTTTTTTTAAGTTGAAGATATTGTTTTTCTATTTTTTTTGTGAATAAAATGCTGAATTTAACTGAAATTTATACATTTTACTGCTTATATGTGCTCCAATTGACTGCCCTCTTGTTGAGATCTGTATTCCTATATCAAGCAAATCTTTCCTCATTAGAGTTGCAGTACAAGGTACTGGTTATTGTGATTTAGCTTGTTTCAAGTTCCGTTTCGTTAGGTTTCATGTGAGCATCTATGAATAAGAGAACACTTTTCATACTTATTTAGCATCCATAGGGTTTTATCTTACCATTGAGAATATAGTTATAGAATCGGCGAACAAAAAAAACTTGTTATAAATTGACTTGAATTTTTTGCAAATAACATTTCTCAAGTAAATCAGGAGGAAATTTGTTGAGCTTGTGCTTGACATTCAATTGATATTTTATCCTAAAAAGTAAAATTCTAAAAATTAGGAAACTAATGATTTGGTACACAATAATGAATTAAGGTTGTGCTTGACATTGTCTATAGACTGCTTCAATTTTGAAATGCAATGAAGTTTATCATACAACATATGCTTCAATTGTTATACAAATATATCTCTCTAAGACCCTTCTCTCACTCATAAATAAACCTCTCTCTCTCTCTCTCTCTCTCAATCCAACGTACTTTACTTTCAATCGATATTTTATCCAATTAGAAAACTAGTGATTTGGTACACAATATTGAAGTGAAGTTGTGCTTGACATTGTCTATAAAATGCTTCAATTTTGAGGTGCAATAAAGTTTATTTCAATTGTTATACAAATATATCTTTCTCTATGACGTTTCTCTCACTCATCAATAAAATTCTCTCTCTCTCTCTCTCAATCCAATATACTTTACTTTCAATTGATATTCCATCCCAACAAATAAAATTTTAAAAGTTAATAAAATAAATAAATACTATCTAGGTCTCAATTTTAACATTTTAAATGTTGCATACTATTTCTAAAGCTAATCCAATACAAAATATCTAGAACTTCTTTAACTTTTTAGGAAGATATCAAACACATAAACCAAGAACTTCTTTTCCAAGAGGTTATCAAACACAGAAACCAAAAACTTCTTTAACTTCTCAGGAGGCTATCAAATACAGAAACCAAGAACTTCTTACAGTAACTTCTATCTTCTCCGCAATGAACTACTTCCGATTTACAATTCATGAACTTGCTATCATTTATCAAACAGGCTGTTAGTGAGCATTTACCTAATCGACAACTCGATCTAAAACTCTCCCTCTCTCCTAGTGAGCATTTGCATTGGATTGAACCCTCTTTCTCTCTCATCTTCATCGAATCGTCTAGTTCTTCACAGTGTGTTTCTAGCAAAGTGCATAGCTTTAGAGTGAACGGGCATCCTGGAATTCTCCCTCGCTCAAAGCACAATTTCAACATCTATGTATCACTTCAAATTAATGAATCATATATAAGGTAATCAACTTCAAATTAATGAATTATATATAAGGTAATCAAAGGATGGTCATATGTACTAAAAAAGATTCATCTTGTAACACATTATCTAGATTCTCTATTTTCATATTTTTCTAAGTGTTTGTAGGTCTCCTTGATCCACACTAATTTTTTAGTTTTAAAATCATAATTAGATGCGATATAGATTTTCAAGTTATAATTGAAATTTCCAACAGTAAAACTACATCTTTCGATAAATTTAAAGGTAGACCTTGATGAAATTGTTTGATGTTGACACCTTATGCAAACGGCACCCATTTGTATAATATATACGTGTATGACAGTGGGCGAAGATCTTTGACCATTTATTGGTGCAGATTGTTTCTCTTTTTTCAACTGTGTTTCTCACTCACACAAGGCACGCTTCGAGTGCTTTTCAAATATCTAATTGTATATAACCAGGTCTATGCTCCCGTGGAGCCATTATACACTTACTCTTACTCCTCTGTGTAAAAGATCTACTTAGGAGGCCGGTTTTTGTATGGAATTTTGGGATCCACTAAGAAATAATTTTGAGTGCATAAACGCTTAAATCTAACTAATCAAATTTGTATAGTCTATATTCAATGCAATTTTAGAGACATCATCCTTCTCAGGTACATAAAGTCTGTTCAAATTTCCTTTTTTAAAAAAATAATAATAATAATTTGAGATTGTCTCTAAGTCAAGAAGGTTACATCATAAAAATTTACTGTCCTAAACGTACTCCTACATAAGGTTGTACCCAAGTAAGTGAATATACAATAGAAATGCTTTGGCACAGTATCAACCTAATCTCGTCTCCAAATCCTTTCTTTACCGGAAACAAACAATAGCACTGTATCTTATCGGCTCCTAAGCTTGTCCAAAATTAACACAAAACAGCAACCTCTAAGAAAAATTCCATAAATAAGAAGATAAATATATCAATTAGAAAATCAGCTATGCAGACAAATCACTGCCAGAACGGGCAACAATCTCCAACTAGTAAGAGAAACAAAAAGATGGTACCGGCGACACTTAAGGCCACACAGGGCTTGCACTCTCAATTGTAGGCCTATAAAGTTCAGGCTGAATTTTTTTTCCAAACAAAAGGTAAATGATAAAGTTGTTTACTTTGGTACAAAAAGGTCGTGGCTATCTAAACATCATACATGAAATCAAGCAGCTCGAGGTATGCCATTGATTTGACGCCCCCAGAAAATCTTCTCATCTCAATTTTGATGCTAACAACACACCCAGCCATCCAATTTTACATCTCACCACTTGCGGTGTTTGTGTATAATTGTATCATGTGAAAGTGATTCCCTCCAAGGAAAAGCTTTTCAAATAAATTCTCACTTGATACAATCCTAGGAATTGATCAAACTTCTCTTTCTAAAGAAGGCTCCACTGTTGCGGAAAAGCTATAGGCATGAGGCATCCACTGGTAATAATTGTTTGCGTATAATTGTATCATGTGAAAGTGATTCCCTCCAAGTAAAAGCTTTTCAGATAAATTCTCACTTGATCCAATCCTAGGAATTGATCAAACTTCTCTTTCTAAAGAAGCCCTCCACCAATGCGGAAAAGTTATAGGCATGAGGCATCCACTGGTAATAGCACACACCTACAAACACTAATAAATTATAGTTACAATAATTCAAAAATCATTAGGTCAACTAGGGAAACTTGACTCCAAATCACCCAAGTCAACCCAGATTGGGGAGTCCTGATTTCCATATGACTCTTGTACAAGGAATCCCCCTCAGGTGAACTCAAACGGCCAGCATCAGGCAATTCCCAAGTCTCAAATTAGTATGAGGAATCACCTCAGTCAGGAGCAAGAGAGAACATGGAAATTCAGAGGTCTAAATCCTCTCTCTCTCTCTCTCTCTCTCTCTTCCTTCTAGTGGAGAAAAGGGCAGGCAATCCCTCCACATATCCTTCATGGATTTCTTCTTGTTTCAGAGGGGAGGACATCAGGCCAATGCAAATGGGGAGGGAATGAGACCCCCTCTATAACGCTGCACAGCAGACTTCTTCCCCTCACGAAGCTGCTTAACTTTACGTCCACTCCAAAATTTGGTAGTTTGCCCTAAAGTTGCTGGTTTTGTAAAGAAAATAGAACCTTCTGTATGCAGGTTTTTTGAGAGAGAGAGCCAAAAACTGAAAGTTTCCTAGAAAGATGAACCCCCAAAATATATGGTCTTAAATCTCTGATTTACTCTGATCTGGGAAGCATTAAAAGGAGGAAAAACTGTTGGAGGCTTGGGTTTTTGTAAACAAAGACGAGGATAATCCATGAAAAGGATGACAATATTGATGTCTTGGTGCATACCTAGCTCCCTTTAGAACATAAGAACCTAGAGGAGACATCTATCATTGGAAAGGTTGATCCATGAAGTTAAGGAAGATGCATCTTGCTTATTGGTACTAAATGGAATGTCATTGTCATCATCATCATCCGAGCCTTATCCCAACTATTTGAGATCGGCTACATGAATCTTGTTCCACCATTCCGCTCTTTCATAGGTCATATCCTCAATCAGACCATAGTTCACCATATCTCTTTGCACTACTTCCATCCATGTTATTTTGGGCCTTCTACTTACCCTTTTAGAGCCTTTCACTTGAACCAATGTTGTTCTAGGTCAATGTTGTATATGGCCAGACCTCCTAAGTCTACTTTCCCTCATTTTATCGCCTAATGGAACCATCCTTAAGTTCCCTCGGATATATTCATTTTGAAATCTATCCTTTCTTGTCTTACAACTCATCCATCTCAACATCCTCATTTCAGCTACACTCATTTTGTGAATATGATTTTCTTGACCGCCCAATATTTCGTCCCGTAAAGCATGGCCGGTCCTACAGCTGTCCTATACAATTTTCACTTCAGCTTCATTGGTATGCAACGATCACATAAGACTCCAGAAGCACATCTCTACTTCGTCCACCCAGCTTTAATTTTATGCACGATATCTTTCTCAGTTTCACCGTTCTCATGGATTATTGACCCAATATATTGACAATAATCTCTTCTTTTAGGTACTTCTCCGCCATCAATCTTAACTAATTCCTTGTTTCTATTTTTATTATAACTAAACTTGCATTCCATATATTGTGTCTTAGTCTTGTTAATTTTAAAACCTTTAGGTTCTAAAACATCCCTCCAAAGTTCTAACTTTGCACTGATATTGTCTCTAAACTCAATAATCAAAACTCTGTCATCCGCAAATAACATGCATCATGGTACCTCATCCTATAGATGCCTAGTTAACTCGTCCATAACCAAAACAAAAGACATGGGCTCGACATTGACCTTGATGTAAGCATACTACCAGTGAAACTCACTTGTCTCTCCACTAGTTGTTCTCACTAGTTAGCACTCCCTCATACACATCTCTCACCATGTTAATGCATACTCTAGATACTACTTTCTTTTCCAAGACCCACCAAATTAACTCTTTAGGTATCCTATTGTATGCTTTCTCTAAAAAGAAAGTAGAAGCAAAGTTTACTCAGAAATGCAATACACCAATAAGCTATCAACATGTGCGGATGCAAAGATAAGGGTATGCAATGCTGGCATTTGAGTTTTAACTAGTATGGCTAGCAACACAGCTGAAGTTTATACCAGTGCCATTTCTGTGTCAAAGGGGTTTAAAAGGTTAACTTTTTATGAAGGTAGCAACTTATTAAGATTCCTTATTTTCTATTTCACACATCAAAATCTCTGAATATAGAACACTAGTCACGTGAATGATAAAAGGAAAGGAATGACCTGTTCATGTACTAGTAATACATAACAGATTTCTGGTCTACCTTCATGATTTATACAAGTGTTTCAATCACTGTTTGAACATCTGGAGCATAGAGAGAGAGAGAGAGAGAGAGAGAGTTTGGCATGGCCATTATTATTCCCAAATTCTGATAAGTTATAAATAACAATTCAGGATGCTAAATACCAGAATAGATAATTCATGAACCATGAGAACTTGAACCCAAAAAAAAGAGAATTGCTTCTTTTAGCTTTCAAGTACGTACCAATACAGATGAATGTACACACGCATGTGGAAGTGTGAGCTAGCAATTTATGGGTGGGGGATCCTCACCAAGAAATTCAGATCGTATCTGCATCAGCAAGCGGCCAAGATAATTCAACCCTTCTCCTTCTCGACCCCCACCCCAGAAAAGATCATGTGGTGAAGCTTCAACCAGAACAGATCCAACAGTAGAAAGCAAGAGAGACTTAAGATGAGGGTAGGTGGAGAACTTGCACTTGAGAGCCTTGTACATGACATTGATCTTCAAAGTATCCCAGTCAGCTCTCATCTGGCAGAGAAAGGATAAGGATATAAGATTGTTAACCTATCCAGCAATAGCAGGAAAAGGACAAATATGAGATGCTGGAAGTAGATTTGGTCGCTTAATTTCTTAAATAAACAACATAATGAACGTTAATATGAGAGTATGGAGATGAATACTCTTTACATGAACATCACTTTGATGTATGGTGACAAGATGAGTGATATTAAGCTTGCTTCTATTAATGTATTTCATCAATGAAAGAATGAAGAAGAATTAAAGTGATTGCCAGTTCATCCTGGAGAATTTCATTACAAGATTTGCTCCTCTAGGCCATGTAATCATGCGACACCTTAGCTAGTTGACAATCTAACAAAGGGGAAAGCAACGAATAACTCCCATTCTTGATATGGAAAAGTATTTGAAATATAGCATAATGGGTCATATACATTTGCATGAATTAAAATATCCTACAGCTGTTTGACATAACCCCCAGTCATCTGCTGTTGCCCGCTGGTGGCTGAGGTGGTGTCAAGTAATTGTAGGAAACTTAAGAACTCATGCATTACTTTCCCTAGTGGAAATACTACAGGCTTTTCCATTTGCATGAGCAATAAGATTTTTTCTTTTTTGGGAGAAAAGAGTCAATAAGAACTTGTCGCTATGTTCCCTGTCTTAAGTCATTCTCACACCGCCATGTATAACATTGATTTTGAAATTTTCAATAAAATTTCAAATATTGGACTAAATCTTGTGGCATTAATACCATCTAACTTGATTAATAAGAGCTTGCTCCACTGCAAATGTCACGCACACGGATGTGAAGACATGCATAAAGAGATCAAATGCTCAAAAAAGGGAATACCAAATGAGGGTGTTGTCTCTCTGATGTCCTTCCAATGCGCGCAGCTTCCTCTGGGCTTCCTGTGGATTTTATTTCTCCCACACAAGCTCTTGCTATTGGATCATCAACACCCACAAACTTGTTCGCCTGCCCATGAGGAGTGGACAAACACACATGAAGGGATTTTGGTAACACAAAAGAGTTATGACATTATTTTTTTGAAACTATTCACAATATATTACTGGTATATACAATATACAAAAGTTCTCACAAGAAGTGAGTCTCAGGCATTCCACACACTGGATGCTCTGTACAAAAAGGATAAGTAATGCCATAATTGTCAAAACAATATATTTTTTTTATAGGTCCTTTTTTTTTATGGCTAGATCAGCTCAGGTTTTAGAGCATCCGACCCCTTAACTATGTTAACTCAATCATAAATGCCCAAAACCTAACAAAAAAACAACAGCTGGATAAGAAATGAGATAAGCAGATACTTTAGGTGGCTTCTAGAAGGGCAAAAAATTAGCCACGAGTCCGTGAAAAATACTTAAAAAGTACAAAGTCCAAAAACAATTGGCTGTTTACCAGTAATCAAGAAATTATAACTTTATAATTTACTAAAACAAGATATAACTTTATCACTAAGTTTAGACACATCCATGCATCAAAAAGGGTGAAAAAAAAATATTCATATACTAAATAAAATTTAATCAATCAAGCTTTCTATTTCTAACCTGATAATAATGCTCCACACTCTGCCAAGTGATATAGACTCCATTCTCATCAGGCATGTGCAAAGGATGTGAAGAAAAGTTTGAAAGAGCTCCATATGGATCCCATGTCTTGTAAAAGAAAATTATGTTCGCATCATAGGGATTTAATGTAGGATCTATGGAAGATGTATCACCTAGAGTTGGAATCACAGGTGTCAAATCAGGAATGGGCTGCAGGAATCCACTTATGAGCATGTCTGGACCAATCTGTAAGTCACGAGAAAAAAGTTGGCATCAGTTGTTGCTCAAATAGTTCAATGGCAGATAGATGAACAAGTACCAAAAACCCAATAATGAACATATTCATTATTGGTACTACTTGATCCTTTTTTTGCAGCAGCAGCAGCAGTTAATATATTGAGTGAAAGAAATATACAAAAGATTTAGAGAGAAGCAGCCCACAGGTTGGGTGCTCCGTACAAAACTGAGATACAACCAAAAAAGAAGAGAGCTATAGAACCAAAAAAATGCGGCGGAGGTGTAGATATACAAAATTGCAGAGACCAAGAGCTCAAAAAGGTGCCAAAAGAATCCTGTCGAACTGATGACCTCGATCCTTTATAATTTCAAGAAAAATTAGAAAGAAAATATAACAAAGCATTCTAGTGTACTAACAGCAAGCGTCCTCTATAATTTTCCAGTACAAACACTGCCTTTCTTGTATTTAACATAGTAGTGACATTGACATATTCTGTTCTTTTGTGGATGCATTATTTGCCCCTGGTTTCGCTGCAAGATACATTTTGGTCAATGTGTGTTTTGATTTCTGGGAAAATGCCATGTTTTGCAAGTGGGTTCAAAACTGGTATGTTCCGTTTTCATCTCTCAAAACACTGCAGCATTTTCTGTGTGCACCCACATCACAAAAGGGGTAAAGTGGCATCAAAAGGAGTCACTTAACCGCAAACTTGGTGTCAGCTAAAATGCCACCCCAGTAGTGCTGAAATATGTTCTGGATTGGCATCAGACTAGCCCTTAATATTGACTTTGAAAAGGAGTCAGAAAATCCCATATACCGATATAATTAATGGACATCTATGCCATGCATAAGGAAAAATTAGAGTATTTAGGACTGACCTATTTATCAAAGTCTGGCACATAGGATGTCTAGGCAAATGCATCGAAGGACATAATAAAATAAATAAGGGAGATAAACAACTCAGGGCAGCCAGAATGTGCCAAGTGCTACATGAGGGTAGAATACAGGAATCTTGGTAATGTCCCATGAAACCAAGCTTATGTAGCAGAAAGGATATGGGTAAGAAAGTAATAAACAAATAAACATTTATCTCAGTGAGCAATTTAAAATATGTAATCTTTACAGAGACTCATGGAATAAAATTTTATCAAACTATATTCGATGAAAACATTGAATGAATGAAACCTATTACAACGAGAACTTCTTTTTTATTTCTAGCTCTGTTTTTTGTCTTCTTCTTTTTTTCTTTTTTTTTTTTGAGGGGGGGGGAAGAGAGAGAACTGGGAATGGGTCTTCTATGGGCAGAATAGTGTTGACACAGCAAAGAGGCAAGGGGAAATAATATTATGAAGGGATCAGTGGAGGAATATCGAAAGGGGTTTTCATGTGGGTAAAAATTAATATTGCCTTAGTCCAACTTCAGACTTTCAATCTTTGAATTTGCAATTCAAAGCACATTCTAAAAGGGCCCCTACCATGTCTTTCTCTTGTTTGTGGTCGCAAGTGTGACTTGTTACTATGTAACAGAGGAAGGCTAGCCAAGAATTACTCCTAGCCATAAAGATTACAATGAACATTCAACAACAATAACTTGTTACACAAACAGCAAAATTTAAAAGACCCTTGCATTGACATTCTCAGATGCATCAAATCTGCCAAAAATAAGAATGATATATTCCAGGAAAATCCATTAAATCCATAGAATGCAAGAAAAGAAATAAAGTCTAGCTCCCATGGATGCAAAAGTCGTAGCACAGCTTTCACGTGAAAATATAAAATCGCAATAATTAAAGAGAAGGCAATGAAGTCAAATGTATTTGGTTTTAGTACCACCAGATAGAATGGAAAAAATTATTTACTGATTGACCTGCTCAAAAGAAACATCAGTCAAATTGAGCGCTTGAGACATCTCGACCATTCCAAGTTCACCAACAGGAGTAGGTGCCTTCAGTCCACCAACTATCTTTGGGCAAACAAATGCACACACCTGCAAAGGTATGCCACTTTGTCATAATCTGCATGCAGCACCATCTGTTTAAGTAAGCAAATATGGACAATTCGCACATATATAGAAACATAAATACACCTGGGGATTTCTCTGAGGAGGCCCCCAAGATGCATAAGTACATAACTACATGCATACCTACCTACCTATCTACCATGAGGAATCTACTCTTACTATTTTATGGTCCAATTCAGCTATCGACGCTTTTCCAAGTTAACTTTCACATCTGTCGGGTGTCATTTAGCTGCTCAGCATCAAGAAACAAACAGGCTAAAATATATGCACTGCTCGTATGAAGCAAAGTAGCTCGTGAGATACAGACTACACAAGTATGCACATTGCAGGTATAATCTAATCCTGTGTTCCATTTGATGCCCTACGCTGTGATACTATATATATCTACTACTCCCACTTTTTAAGGTCTCATGTTGAACTTATCAAAGCACTTGAGTGAAATAAGAACTGCACAATAGACCGATTCAAATTTGCCTCACTGATAGGCATTTAAGGTTTGACATGAATTTTGGCATTCCTTAATGATATTTCTAAACATCTAAGGTCTCTATGGAATAGTCACTTTACATTTCCAGCTTATGTTGGAAAATGCATGGCATAAATGCTGCTCCCACCTCACAGAAAACAGCCACCCTATATCTTGAGCTAGACAAGTAATTTAGGGTGCAAACAGAACTCGGTACATTTGATAAAATGCACATGAAGAGGAGAATCCATTTGGATAAATAATGACTAAAATAGCTGTTTTATACCCTAGACAAAAGAAACAAACAACAAAACCTCGAGGAATCTCGCCATTTTTGGTTCACAACATCTATCATGAGTCCTTTGAAAGAAAGGATCTCAGGCACAAGGTCAATCACAAATTTTTGAAGAGGCATGCAGCTTGAAATATTTTTGTTTATTCGGCAGCTTCAAATTTAATCCACTTTCTTCTTTTAGTGTTTCATAGGGGTATTAGTCTACAAGATTAGGACTCTGATTGGCTGGACATGGAACTAGAGGATGCTACATATGAAACTGCAGGTGCAACAGGTCAAGAAGAGTAAGCACCACAATCCATGAAGAAAACAATGAAAATCTAGAGGAAGTATATGACGGACGGATATCCTGGCATAAAAAAAAGAGGAAAAAGCATGAGCATGAAGAACAAACGCAAAAAAAAAAAAACCAAGTATATAACAAAGAAGGATATATACGCATAAAATGAACAAGATAAGGAGGTCTAACTCAGAAGGATATCTAGGCATATTTGAAAATATGAGGTCTCCCACTCCTTCACGTCCTCCCAACAGCTTATAAATAAACCATAACCCTTAAAACCTATGTCTTAAGTAGTTCTTACCCTTGATCTTCATATAAACTATCGTTCTTTTTGTAGGTTGATGACAAAAGGGTAGGTTGGCTGGTTTGGTTTTTGGGACAAACTTCATGGATCAACCCTTGACGTCCCTCACACAAACTTGTTACCTTACCAGGACCAAAGGTAGGTGACTTCATCTGATCTTTCTACTATTCTTCTTGAGACAAATCCCCTTAAACCCAAATGAATGCACCCTAAATTACTCCTAAACATTAATGATAAATGAAAAAATAAAAAGAAGTGCATGTGAGCATTAAGTAATGCTCAAAGTACCCTAGAAAAGAAGAAAACTAGATACTCACAATGAATTTTGGGCTGCAATTAGGACAGAAAATTAGGGCATCAAGTTTTCTATCACTCAAAACAGATATCAAGGATATGCCTCTAGGGCCAATTAAGTTGTGGCATCAAAGCAAGTGTCCATTCACTTTTCTATGTAGGATTGCCACACTTTCTGAACAAAGCACACCCAGCAGTCTCACTGAACATTTCACACTATGAAGATTATATACCTTCGGAAGCAAACCATAAACAACAAAACCGAGTTCATGACGGAAATGTGGTTGTAAGATCACTTTATACATTCCTTAGTTGTGAAAATTAATGAATTAACTCCATCCATGAATAGTAAGCGGCTAAAATGAACCTTGTGAATAACACCAGATGCAATAGCAGGAGCAGCTAAACCACCTCCACATTCCCACAAAATAGAAAGATAACCACGATCATAGCAATACTCCATAACATCCCTAGGGTTTAAGATGTCGAACTCTACTACTTCAACACCTTTTGATGCGAGTAATTTCTGGAAACTCTTGCGAGCCCCTCTTTGTGTCGTAACTATTGTATGTGCAACAGAGACATCCCAGAGGTTTGCAACTTCAGGAAGATTCAAAGATTGTGACATGACAATTCTTATAGGCAAATGGCCACCCCCATGTCTAGCCGTTAATCTTGGATCTGAAATATAAAACAAGGATCAACATAAATGCCTACCCACTTCAAAGGAAATGCAACCAAATAACAATGTGTATAACATGTATACCATCACGGCGCAGTGTATTGCCACCAACAATGACAGCGTCACTTCTGCCTCGTAATTCAAATACTCGTTGCCTGGAGAGCTTACTGCTAATCCATGATGCATGGCCACTGCTTGATGCAATCTTTCCTGTGAGAAACCAAGAAAACATATTATGTTATGACAGTAATATCATTTTTGTACTTTTGAGACTTGCACCTAAAGCTAGTTGTAAAAAAAAAACACACAAATTGTGAAATGGTAAAACAGTAACAAAAATTGATGTTAGAAACAGAGGAAAAGGAAATTCACGAGACAAACAGTCCATAAAACCATGGTATCACTCACCATCTAGGGTCATTGCGTATTTGAGGACAGAATATGGAATTCCATAAGCAGCTCTATAGAGTAAAGGAGCATTTACTACAAGGCAGGATTTCAGAGCATCCTGCAATATTTATTGGAAACATTAAGTGAATCAGAATATCGCACATTTATGAGTTACTTTTATGTCCCAAGATTGGATATTATTGTAAAGAAAGGAAATCCAAAGAGAAAGTCATGCAACAAATTTCTTCTAATCCGTTGGACTTAGTGCAACACTAAAGAGTATGGGTATGACATTCTTATAAGACGATAGACCTTGATTTTGTAAAGAAAAGAACCAAAATCAAACACAACTACCCATACTTTTAAGAAGATAGACCTTGATTTTGTAAAGAAAAGAACCAAAATCAAACGCAACTTAATAGACTTCCAAATAAGGTGAACTGTATATAGTTTTGCAATAATTACTTTCAACTGAAAGCTTTCTAGAGACAATCATGTTGCCAAAACTTTTAATTTCTTATTAATCCCTGCAGAATAATTTCCTCAATACTGGACTGAAATATTAATTAGAGAAATAGTAGAACCTAGAACATATCACAAAGTATTATGCCCTCTTTTGCCTTCTAAACATATGCTGGATCTTATTTGCAAATTGAAACCCAATCTTTGTCAGTTACTTCCTAACCCTCTCAGGATTCAAAGGTCAGTACAAAAGAAATATTATAATCATGCATGTTTATATAGATTTGGAGATATGCATATTCATAGAGGGTGATAAATCGCCAGGTATAATATGCATGTTTATATAGAGAATCATCGCCAGGTATAACATGCACGTTCATAGAGAGTGGCACATTGATCACTGGGTATATGAAGCACACGTATTTAGAAGCAACAATGAAGGTGATTAAATATGATGCACCAATTATTCAGCATCACATTGTTTGCACACGACCAAGTGATGGTTGTCAATATTAGAAAAGCATAAGTAGGCTTGCGAAATCATCTATAACTACTTTATTGTCCATCCAATTGGTCTTTGGTTATGATGAAGGCAAACTTTTTGCAAAGACCAGTGCAAATGCAGAACCTATGGGCTGCAGGGCATCGATACAACCTTTCAACAGAATACTGTTGCTGCAACAACTGTTTCTCAAGCCAAACACACCATGTTTCTTCTTCTTCTTCTTTTCTATTTAGTTTTAATAATAGTAGTAGTAGTAGTAGTAGTAGTAGTACATTTAGTAATAATAATAATAAAGAAGCTTAGTGTGCACCTCTACTATTCAAGCAAAATCCTATTTAGTTTTAGTAGTAGTAGTATTAGTACATTTAGTAATAATATTAATAATAAAGAAGCTTAGTGTGCACCTCTACTATTCAAGCAAAATCATCAAAACTGAGAAGATGTGCCATTTTTCTAGGATAGCCAATAAATTTCATTAGACAAAAGACAGAAAGTCAATAAATATTTAGGGAGCAAAGAATTGAGGCTCAAAAGTATCTTCAACACACATTTATTTGCTAACCTGTTTCTAAATTCAAATTCATGTTTACACTAAAAGAAGGGCTTAAACAGTTGACTTTCCAAGACTATTCCATCTTGCTAGCAATCTCATAACGTTCAAAGACATAAAGGACAAATATGCACCTGGACAGTGCTTAAGACCTCTTGGAAGAGAGCACATACTATTTATGTCCTCCATATTGCACTTTACATGCAACAAAGCTGTATTAGGCATTGCACCATACCCGTTAGAAGAAAATAAGACACCTTCACTATCTGTGAAATGACCCCCACCCTTAGTTTACAGAATGCCTTGACAGAAAGGCTCCTACAACAAACTCTATTCAAACCCCACCTTCACTATCTGTGAAATGACCCCCACCCTTAGTTTACAGAATGCCTTGACAGAAAGGCTCCTACAACAAACTCTATTCAAACTAATTAGCCAAGAGAGGCCCAAACCCAGTTTACCTACATATCTATGCATCTATGTCAATCGCCCAGACATCACTCCCTCTAGTGGCCACAACTACATTTAGAAAGCACGTTTACACATAGATAACTGTTGACTGTGGTGCTCCATGGCCACATGTACAGTTTCTCCTATAAAACCATCCATGGCTCCAATTTGAAGTCTAAATATGTGTTCCTCCACTTTTGAAGACTCGAAGCATCATAATGAGCACCAAAAGAATATTTTACTTGCTCCCGATCATAGCCGTAGTCAGTGATTAAGAATTTTTACATTTAAGATAGACACATAACATAGACATGAAGTTTAAACAGTTGGTTAAGCCACACCAAAGTTATTCAAGCTTACGTATCATAGAGAATAAACATACAAATTTAAGTTATTCAAGCTGCCATAGAGAATAAATCTACAAGCCAGTGTTGCATGTACCTTCTTTTGTCTGGTCAAGTCTTTCATTCCCATAAGCACATAAGAAACCCGAGCAACAATTACATATGCTCACGAGTTCCCTTCTAGAGAAACTACATTAAGATGTAGTTATTGAATATATTTCTTGTCTCAGCTTTCAGGGAAATGTTAACCACTTTGTGGGATGATCTGCCCCTCATCAAGGTGCAGTTCTCACCACAGATTTGGAAGATTAGTGAGTCAATAAGCTCTTTGGAACACATGAAAATAAAGAAACCTATTAATGAGACAAGATTTGTCATCGAAATGTGGAGTAGCTTAGACCCTTATAAGACGCCCCAAGACAGAGAGATACCTTGATGACTAAAATGCATGAGGGAACTAACCCTTTTTAAAGCATACACATGTATCAATCTTCTACCACTCAGGAATAGCAGAAGTTACAAACAGTTATACGTAATATCTAATGGATTTAAAATTATCAAAGAATACAATACTTAATGAGTCGACCACCTCAATAATTTTACTTCGCATGTCTTCCCCAAGCACGTCAACCAGCAGACCTTCACTTCTTAATGAATGGATTGCTTTCCCTCGAAAATGTCTCAAAGGATGCCTGAGACCCACAACAACTCTCGAAACTCCTGCCTAAAAAGCAAACATTAGCAACCACGCTAACCCTCAGAAATGAAGCATAATCCATTCATTAAATCTGAAACTCTTTTAACTATTTAAAGAGACCTGACCGAAAAAAAAAAAGCTCCACGAACTTGAAGTTCAACTGGACGATCTCATTATTATGCTCAGGTAGGTCTAATAAGAGTGAGGACTTTAAACTTTTTCTTAAACCATCCCAAGCCCGGGTAAAAGAGGTGGGTTGCGTCAGGTAGGCAGACAGCGTAAAACTTTGCCACATCTCATCATGAATCCTGAACCTATAATGGAGGAACATGATTCAGGTAGCCGATCCCAAATAATCAGGACAAGGCTTGGATGATGTTGATGATGATCTATTATGCTCAGGAATAGTATATAATGCTGAAATATATTAAATGTTAAAGTTGTTACCACATGTATGCAAACCATAATCAACAAAAATTTATATTACCAACCGTAATTTTAATATAAAAGCAGATGATTTCAAAATAAATTTTCGGAGACTGAAGACTGCATTTATATCACAATGGTCATTAAAAAGACAGCTGGCTTAAAATAACCAGTCAATCTCAACAGCACAAATGAGGAGCATTTCAAGCAGAAAGAACATGCAGAAAATTACTGCAGAGTATTCTTTATACAATGTTGGAAAAGTCTAAGCGTGCAATATGTATTACTTGGGTTGCTGTGACTTCAAAAAAATGTTCTGAACATGTCATCTTAATACACGAGGGATCTCTCTGTTAATGATTTAGCGGAGGCCTGTAGGAAATGCTTTAATTGTTCAAATGCAACACCACTGCATTAAGATCATATAAACTCTCTTAAACACCAATAAGCTAAACCACCATTTCAATTGCATAGAATCATTACAGACAAATATTTTTAATGACCATGACAAGCTTATCCTAGGATTGCATCAGTCCCCATTCCCCAAGCTCCCTGATGTTCAAAAGATGCCAAGCTTTTGAAGAAAATAATAAGTTCCAAGGTCCCAAATTGTTACTAAAACTCTAAATATACTGAATGAACCTCAGACAGCAGGATGTAATCCACTCTATTGAAAATTTAAATGTGTCTCAGAGAAACCAGTATGATAAATATCCAAAAAAATTGCAAGGTATTTTAGTAAAATCCATGGAAGTACAAAGGATTGTAGCGAACACAGAAAAAGGACAGACAAGTAGATGAAAGTATGAAATGATCTGTGCAATTGTGACAAACAAAATTTGAATTGGGAACTGTCACAAGATTGCAATACATGAATCATTGAGCAGAATGTTCCTCATAACTGCCTCAGCCCATCCTTGGACAAGAGTGTTATCTTTGTTTTTTATTCCGATGTACAGGGTCTCCCAACCGTTTTGTATAGCATCAGCTAGAAAGCATTTTTGAGGTGTAAAGACCACCCATCCTGTGGGCTGCCTGATTCTTTATGTGACTCATACACACAATACAACAGGTAACTGTTTACAGGAAGAAAAAAAAAACTGGCTGATAATGTGAATAAATGCTACGAGGATCAAAAACAGACCAGTCAGTCCAATTCTGCAAGGAACTTTGTGAAAGATAAGTTACATATCCCTATTCCATTCTATCATAAATGCAATTTCTTATGACCATAATCTTTATAGATGCTTAAATTCTTGTTTCTAAAGTTTAAACAATATTTTTTGTGTTTGAAAGAGAATCTCCAATTCGCAACTTAGTAAGTTGACTCAGTACAAGCCAATATTGTTTCTTTAAACATGCTTGAAGGAAAAGAATTTGCACTTGAACAACTCAATTCCATAGAACTGGTAATATAATAGTAGAAGGTAGAGGATGCATAGATTGACACTTGCAAATGAGGTGATCGAGAAGAACTGTGTACTCTGCATGAGAGAACTTGACTAGAAAGTCTAACTCTGCTGGGTGTAGCATCAAATCGGGGATAGGAACAATAGTCAATCATATTATTCATCAGTGGCGCTGCAAGTATGCACAGATAACTAAGTGTATCAAGAAGCCAAATGCAAAAGGAAGTAAGAGGAATCTGGGAAGCAACCATGGCACTGATATGTATGTCTCACTTCTACAAACAGTAACAACTAAATTCCAAACTTTTTATATGACAGTGAAGGATCGAAAATCAAACAATATGTATGTCTCATTTCTACAAACAGTAAAACTAAATTCTAAACTTTTTATATGACAGTGAAGGATTGAAAATCAAACATCCTCACAATGTTAACGAAGTGCCAGAAAAAATAGGAAAGCTGTGTGCGTTAATTTACTTCTCAATCATCATCATCAATCATCATCCTCGTCATCATCATCAAAGCCTTTTCCCAACTAATCGGGATCGGCTAATTTGCTTCTCAATCGTATGGGATCCATATTCCATCATGTTATATAGATCCTAGAAACTGCAAATGTGTAATTGATGTCATGATATTTGTAATGGTAATATGTTGCCAAACAAAGTTATGTGTGTGAATGTATTATTGATGACAGAGTATAACAGGCGAGAGAGATAAACAATAAAACGGATACAATAACAGAGAGAAATAAGGGTTCAGATCAGGTTAGGGAGAAAGAAGTAATAGAAGAAACCTGGATGAGAGCAGATAAGGCACTGTCATCGCCATGGCAATCGCCCGGCTCTAAGTTAAGGTATGCAGTGGCACCCTTGCACAGCTCCCCTCCGGCCATCTCCACCGCCTGCAGTTCCGCACATTTGGTGCCCTGCGCATAAAGGAACCCCTCCCCTACTACACGCTCTCCCCTCGCAATCACGCAACCAAAATTCGGATGTGGGGATGTGCACCCTGCCGACTTGTCCGCGATGCCGGCAGCCCTCTGCACGTGGGCGGCATCTAATGCATGGCCACTGAACGGTGTACCCCCCATAGCAAGTGCCCCAGCACCACAGGATAAGGCCATGGATGGTGATGGGGTATGTTGCAGTTTGTAAAACAGTCCGCTACTCAATCGCTGCTACAAGCACTCGGCTTCTATATTCTATGTGCAGAGAAGACGACTGTAACACCAGATAACCAAAATGAGAGCTTCTTGAATTCTTTCTTTTGTGGCTTTCTCGTGTGAGGGTGGAGAGAGAGAATTGAAATCCGAACCGTGAATTTTGAGAGAGACTTCAATGCTGAACTGTAAATTTAGAGAGAGAGAGAGAGAGAGAGAGAGAGTTCAAAGCTGAATCGTGAATTTAGAGACAGTGTGCGTTCAAGCTGTGTCATGGATATAGAGAGAAAGAAGTGAGAGGGAAACAGGGGAAGTGAAGTGAGAGGCATGAGAGAGTGAATCGAAGATCAAGCGAAAAACAATAGCGATTGGGGATGCGTGGGGGGACGTACGTGGAAAATGGTGTGAAATTTTTATTCAAAAAAAAAAATTAGTTAGCTTTTAAATTTGGAAAAGTTCATACGAGGTTGCAGACTTTTTTTTTATAGCAATAAAGTTACATTTATCCATATTGTCCGTATTATTTTGGTTTGGATATTATCCTAAAAGAAAAAGTTTATATACGTTCAAGGCTCTAAACAATCAAATTAGACCGCACCACAAAAAGTTCATTAAAAGATGTTGTTTAGATGCCTAATTATACTTAAATTGATCATCTCGACCTCAAGAATAATGGACATAAAAAAAATTAAATTTCAAGTTTTGAAAATAATGCATTACATTTTTTTACCGTCAATTTTCAAGATTTTCAGGTTTTCATAGATTTGCTTGATCTACATTATTTTTTAAGCTTTAAATGTTATAATTAGAGATGAAAACATATTTTAAGGCTATCTAAAAGATTTTCAATATTGAAACCATATTTCTCGATAGTAGTTGAAGGTGCGCTTCACTTTGATTGTTTAGAGCTTCAGCTTTATACAAATCGCACTCTATCTTAAAATATGTGTCACATATTTATATTATATATAAAGATGTATTAAATCTATATCATCCAAATAAAATAGACATTGTAGAGTATGGTAACCTTATTTTTACAAGTAATGTTGCATACTTATACAAGTTGAACCTTTTAATATTCATATTTTTTTACATATTCATATTCTCCATGTTAGAGAATTTTTTATACCTACAAAATTAGGTAGACAATAAATATGATAGGCGGAGGCAACCAATGGTATGGAGTCTGGACTGGTTAGGGGGTGGGCACCCAAATACTTGGACGGCCCTAAGGGGTATGTTATTTTGTGTATGTGTGTTTTGTGAATGTGTGTGTCTGTATTTGGCAGCCGCCCAGAAACCTGGGCAGCCCTGAGAGAAGGGGATTGGGGTGGGGGCCATATGTTGTTTTGTATGTGTGTGTTTTGTGAATGTGTGTGTATACATGCGTACGTATGTGTATATGCGAGGTTTCACATGAAATTCTTGAAGATCATCCCTTTTTTCGTTTTGAATATATATTTGTCAAAGAGAGGTCTCAACAAACACTTAGAGTATATGTCGAGAGAGAAAGAGCGAGAGAGAGAGACTGTGAGAGAGGGACCTCACATCAAACACTTCGAGGTCATATTCTTCTTTTTTTGCTTCTTATGTATAAAGAATGAGCATATGGGTACAAGTGTATCTTTGTGTGTGTGTGTGTGTATGAGAGAGAGGCCTTACATTTAACACTTAGAGTCCATCTTCTTCTTCTTCTCATAAATAAATAGAGCACATGGACTCGAGAGAGAGAAGGGCAATATCATAATATTTTTTTGTTTGGGTGGATTTGTATTTTTTTTTAAGGGATGGCACTAGGTGGACACCCAAGCCACCTCAGCGCTTGCCTTAGGCATGCTTGCTCATACCCCACACCATTTATGTCGGCCAGGCAGCCTAGGTGGCTGGGTGGCCTGACTTTTTTTCAATGATATTTACATATGAGTCGTAGAACTCATAAAAACCGTGTTTAATCTTTAACACCTTCCTATTGCACTCGTATGCTATGACGCTTAGGGTTTTGATAGTCTCCAGCACCTGTGAATTTTGGGATATAATATCTTCAGCTCATAGATTAATTTCAATAACAAAAACTACCTAATTGTACCCTCTATATACTTTAAAAATAATAATTTATCAATATTTAACCATCCAATTTTTAGATGGTAATATCAAAGTGTAAGAAAACACAAATTTTAAATTGTTTTTTCAGAATAATCATCCAGAAATTATTAAATAGTTGCTAAAATTATAGATTGAAAAAAATCATCCCAAGTAAGTCTCCCGGCTAAAAAAATAGCATGTGTGCTCTTAGATTAATTAGACGGGTAATGAATGAGGGGAAGTACAACAAAAGACGGGCCCACCTACCATGTGTGAGGTTTGTATAATGTGCCCGCCTAATACTTGGAAGTAAGCCGCACCTCTATTGTTGGGATGTACGCACCTCTATTGTTGGGATGTAGTTATGGTGACAAAAACCTTATGATCGCTCGACAATCTATTTTTATCCAAATTGATGAATTTAAAATTTCTTAAAATATTACAAGTCGAGTAGATCTATAAACATTTGAAACTATTGATAATAGACTGTCCACATAATTTATTATATGATGCATTCTTTTTAGGACTTTAATTTCTTTTTTCCTTTTTATTACACATCTTGAGATCAATATGATTAAATTGAAGGGTTTTCTAACATCCAAGCACTAGTTTCTAACTGATTTTTTTTATGTCTACCTTACTTCAATGACAAAGTTGACATCTTATACCATCTTTTTCCTTTATTGGACGATGAATTGTAAGATCCGTCTCAAGGAAAATGTTTTCGCATGCAGCCTTGCTTCAACAAGGATGGCTACAGCCCCATTGTCTGACAGATAGTTCCCATTTTTGAAAGCATATCTATAAGTGTTATGAAAAACTTGAAAATTGATGGTCTAAATAACATATAATATGTGTTACTTTTGAAAAAGTACACAAAACATTCTATTTACTTTTGGCGTAATAGGTCACAATCACGCTTATCTTTCAGATTTCAAATCAAGTGATTGTAAGAATGTCATTATCTAGACCCGAAGTTCAAAACACAATTCTATAACTTCATGACAAATCCCAAGCTATCAAAATTGATATCTAATGACTATCAATAGTTGTGATCACCTTCTAACAAAGATAAAACGGTGTCACTGTACACAATCCTATCAATTATGCATTCTGAAACCTCTTTTTCATGTCTATGCATTTGATCTCATCAACTAATTAGAGTGTTTTCGAATAAAATTTTTCCACTGGATTTTTTAGGTATGTTTTACTTTTATAGTGGAACGTTGGCACCACCTTTAATTTTTTTCCTTTCTTAAGTGGTCAACAATAAAATAAATTAGGGAAATTATCATAAATATTTCTTAGTTTTTTAGGTAATTAAAATCTGCATTACACTTTCCATACTTTACATTTATTTTTCCACTTTTGTGTGTGTGTATGTTTTTTTTCCTCTCTCTCAAAATACAACCGGTTCGAAACTCCAAGTTCCCAATCGGTCTTTTTTGGGGAAAAATACCCTATTTTTTCCATATTTTTAACTTATATATCTCATCAGGCCCAATAATTAAAAATATTACTTGTAAACAAAAGGAGTCCATCTTTTCTATCTTTCAACCGCTTAAACCCTTTTGACCATGTATTATTTACCTCAACAAATTATAAATGACTCAATCTATCTCTCTCTCTCTCTAAAACTCAATATCTCTCTCAAAACTCCATCTATCTCTAAAACCCAAACTCTATATCTCTCTCACACATCATCGTCGCTCTGTCTCTCTCTCAAAACTCTATCTCTCTCTCTCTCTCTAAAACCCAAACTTCATCTCTCTCATACACATAAGGTGTGCTCATGTGCGAGCTCAACCTCAAGCTCAAACTAGACCCCTTAGCTGATAAACTCACCGAGAAGCGAAGAGAGATAGATGGAGTTTTAGAGAGAGAGAGATAGAGTTTTAATAGGGTGTCATTTTAGTGTTTGTTTGAGTCAAAATTTTATGATGAAAGGGATCCAGGGGGTTGTGAGATAAAAAAGATGGAGACATTTTGCTTACAAGTAATATTTTTAATTTTTTGATCTATTGAGACATAGAAGTTAAAAATAAGGGATAAGAAGATATTTTCCTTTTTTTTGTTTTTCTAAATGATATGTCAGTTCAAAACTTGATGTTCCAAATATACCTATTTGAAAATTAAGGTTGATCATAGGTAGAGTTTCATTTGTTCAAAGCTTGAAGTTTTGAACCTAGGACACATGTATTTTTTGAGTGGCATATTGTGAACTTGAAGTTCCAAACCACTCAAATTTCATTTTATTTTTAAAAGTCAATTTGTGACCGTAAGTTTCAAACTCATTTATCAATTGTAATGATAATAATGATAACAAATAATAATAATAACAATAACAATAACAATAACAATAACAATAACAATAACAACAACAACAATAATAACAATAACAACAATAACAACAATAATAACAATAACAATAAAATAAAATAAAATAATAATAATAATAATAAAAGCGATAGACCATAAATTTGAGTTCCAAACTTACAGTGTTTGAGAGAGAACATAAAATACAAAATATGAGACATGGATGTAAAATATAAAAATGAGAAATGCTTTTTAAAAATATTTACTAATTGCCAAAAAAAACTTACATTTGCATCACTAAGTAGAATATAAGAATATGGGTAACTTTTAAATAGGGAAGTCATCGATGATTTCCCTTTGTTATTTAGTAAATAATTACTTTTAAACAAGGGCTCCACCATCTCTTAGGGATTTTTAAGTTGAATTTTGATAGAAGTTCACAAAGGAACTCAGGTTTGAGGTGATGTCTATGATTGGAATGTGGACATTATCTTTACCTATACAAGACCAATTGGGGAAGCTACTACACATCAAGCTTGATTGCTTGTTCTTCTCTAGGGTCTAAAAATTATTCAAAGCATAAATCTGGATAGTTTTTGTATGATTGAGGGTGATTTGTTGAATGTCGTCCAATGGTGTAAGAGAGAGTTACGCGTTCGTGGAAGCTAGTTTCTATTTGGTCACAATTTGAGGGTCTCTTTTATCCATATGTGTTGGGAGGCCAATTCTTTAGGAGATTGTTTGGCTAAGTTTGACTCCACTTTGCCTTCTCTTGTTATTTCTAATAATGTAATCTCTTTTGGATATTTTTCATTCAGCAATAAAAGGTTCATATTCTTAAAAAAACAAAAGAAAAAAATAAGTAATTTTAAACAAGGAAGCCCCAAATAGAAATAATTTTTTTGGTGCAGCCAAGCCCACATCTGTTACTATGCAAGCCGAAGATCTACACCGTCCACCAAAACAAAGTCTCTTTAGTAATAGTCCTCCAAAGAAAAAGTAAAAATCCACTATTCAAATTTTTATTTTTAAAAAATCATTTTTAGTTTTAATTTTATTTTATTTTTACAAATTAATGATCTCCATATTAAATATTATATATTCCCTAAAAAGTAAGATCAAATTTTATTTCTAAAATAAATTATTAAGGGGCCCGTATGGCAACTACATCTCAAAGAGAATGCACTATTCATGAGCCTTAATTACTCCCTCGCTTTATATGAGCCCAATAAAGTCTCTTCGTGGGCCCAAAAACCCCCACTCACACCGCACAACCCAAAAGCAAGAGGAATAATGTTTCATGCAGTGGGAACCGCATTTCTACATTTGCGGTTCCCGAGGTATAAATAATTCATTTAAAAAATGGATGTAAATAGGTGATCTATCTAAAAACAATTGAAACTAATAGTCCAAATGTTATTTTAATAAAATATTTTTAAAAAATTTTAAAATTCATTTATTAACATTCATGATCTCCATGTTAGAGATTACATGTTCTTAAAATTAAGACTTAATAGAATTATTATTTGAATTTGAATTATTTATTTATTTATTCATATTCATGATCTCCATATTAGAGATTATATGTCTTTAAAATTTATATTTTACGCTTATTTTTTCGCTTTTGTGTTTTTTTTTATCGTCTCTCTCAAAATACAATCGGTTAAAATATCCAAGTTCCCAATCGGTCTTTTTGTTTTTATTTTCTTTTTTCTTGAATGACATGTCAATTCAAAACTTGATGTTTCAAATATACCTTTTTGAAAATTAAGGTAGATCATAGGCAAAGTTTCAGTTGTTCAAAGTTGAAAATTTGAACCCAAGACACGTGTATTTATTGAGTGACATATTGTGAACTTGAAGTTCCAAACCACTCAAATTTATTTATTTATTTATTTAAAAGGTGATTTGTAACCTTAAGTTTCAAACTCATTTATCAATCCTAAAAAAAGAAAAAAAGAAAAAAAAAAGGAAGCGCTGGATCATAAATTTGAGTTCAAAACTTACAGTATTTGAGGGAGAACATAAAATGAGACATGGATGCAAAATATGAAAAATGAGAAATGCTTTTTAAAAATATGTATTAATTGCCAGGAAACTTATATTTGCATCACTAAATAGAATATAAGAATATGGGTAACTTTTAAACGGGGAACTCATCGATGATTTCCCTTTGTTATTTAGATAATAAGTACTTTTAAACAAGGACTTCACCATCTATAAGGACTTTTAAGTTGAAATTTGATGAAAGTTTACAAGGGAACCCAAGGTTGTCAAGTATTGGGTGATGTATGTGATTGGAATGGGGACATTATTTTTACCTATGCAGAACCAATTGGGGAAGCTACTGCAAATCAAGGCGGATTGCTTGCTCTTCTCTAGGGTCTAAAAATTATTCAAAGTAGAAATCTAAGTGGTTTTTGTATGATTGAGGGTGATTTGTTGAATGTCATCCAATGGTGTAAGACAGAGTTACAGGTTTCGTGGAAGCTAGTTCATATTTGGTCACAAATTATTGATCTTGCTGAAGTTTTGACAGTCTCTTTCGTCCATATTTTTAGGGAGGCCAATTATTTAGTAGAATATTTGGCTAAGTTTGACTCCTCTTTGCATTCTCTTGTTATTTCAAACGATGTAATCCATTTTGGGTAATTTTCATTCAACAAGAAAAGGTTCATAACATTCGTAAAAAAATATATATATACTTTTAAACAAGGAAGTCCCAAATAAAATGAATTTTTTTGGTGCAGCCAAGCTCACATCTGTTATTATGCAGGCTGGAGTCCACCAAAACAAAGTCTATTTAGTAATACTCCTCCAAAAAAGTAAAAATCAATTGTTCAATTATTTTTTATTTTTTATTTTTTTAAAAAATAGTTTTTAAATTTTATTCATTTATACGGATTAATAATCTCCATATTAAATATTATATATTCCCTAAAAAGTAGGATCACATTTTATTTCTAAAATAAATTCGTAAGGGCCCACATAGAAATCGCATCCCAAAGAGAATGAGCTCTTCATAAGCCCAAATTCCTCCCTCGCTTTATATGAGCCCAAGAGAGCCTCTTCATGGGCCCAAAAACCACCCTCTCACAAGAGGAAAAATGTTTCATGCATCGAGGACCGCACTCCCAGAGGTATAAAGCATCCATTTAAAAAAGGAAAAAGGTTTACGTAAGGAGGCAACCTTATAATGTAGAGCTACGGATTCACTTAAAAATCCATCGGAAAAGGTAGTTTTAATGTTGAAAAACCTTTTGATTGATCATCTCGACATCAAGATGTATGACCATGAAAAATAAAAAGGTTTTAAGTCTAAAAAATAATGCATTTTATATCATATTATATACACCGTCCATTTTCAAGAATTTTATATGTTTATTGATCTACTTGATTTTAACCATTTTTAAAAATAAAATTTTATAATTAGATATAAAAATAGATTTTGAAATAATCCTAAGAACATTTTACAGCAAAATTATATACCATGATAAAATTTGAAGGTCCACCTCTTTACACCTACGGATGCGTCCGTATGCAAACTGTACCCTTTAAAAAATGAATGTAAATTGGTGATCTATCTAAAAACAATTGAAACTAATAGTCCAAATATTATTTTAACATAATTATTTTTAAATTTTTTAAATTTATTTATTTATTGATATTCATGATCTCCGTGTTGGAGAAACTCATTTCTACCGGGACTCATAGCCGTCAAAAACAAAATAAAATTCTACGAGGGGTCCAGGACATAGAGTAGCAGTCAAAAGCAAACTCATTTCTATCGGGACTCATAGCCGTCAAAAACAAAATAAATGTCCAGGGTTCTAGAACTCATAGTCATCGAAAACAAAATAATGGATTTAAATTGGTGATCTATCTAAAAACAATTGAAACTAATAGTCCAAATATTATTTAATATAATTATTTTTTAATTTTTAAATGTTCTTTATTTATTGATATTCATGATCTCCGTGTTGGAGAAACTCATTGCTAACGGGACTCATAGCTGTAAAAAACAAATAAAATTCAACGAGGGGTCCAAGACTCATAGTAGCCGTAAAAAACAAACTCATTTCTACCGGGACTCATAGCCGTCAAAACAAAATAAATTTCTAGGGGTCCAGT